ATGTCCTGTATCGATTCAAAACCTTTACCTTTCATGGTCATTTTGACTTTGGGGAAGAGCAAGAAGTCGCATGGTGCCAGATCCAGTGAATAAGGTGGATGAGGACACACCATAATGTGTTCATTTGACACAAAATGCCTTTATCAGAAGTGATGTGTGACACGGAACGTTGTCATGATGGAGGATGAAGTAAAGACACTCACGAAAGAGGACTTCCAGAACTGCTTCAGAGAGTGGCAAGAACGATGGGATAAGTGTGTCTTAAACAAGGGGGAGTATTTTGAAGGGGATTAATGGCAAGTTGTCTTTTACTGTAATTTTTTTAAATGTAAACATTCACTGTATTTTTTTTATCACACCTCATATATGAAATATTCAAAATAGCTAAATCCATAAAGAGATATTGGTGGTTGCCAGGGGTTGGGGATATGGGATAATGGGGAGAAATTGCTTAATGGGTAAGGAATTTTACTTTGGAGTGATAAAATTTTTTTAGAACTATAATAGATAAAAGTGGTGGTTGCACATTGTAAATGTACTAAATGCCAGTGAAGTTTTCACTTTAAAATGGTTAATTTTATGTAATGTGAATTTCATCTCAATAAATTATTTTTTTAAATGTGAATTAATATATGATATGAGCTAATTCATTGCACCATTGTTTGTAAAAGCAAAAGCTGTAAATAACCCACGTTCATCAACAGGAGACTGGCTAAATATACTAGAGTATATCCATACACTCGAATGCTATCAAAAAGAATGAGGAAGCTCTGTATAAACTGATATGAAAAGGTCTCTAAGATATACTGTTTACTAGGAAAAATAGGCAAGGAATAGAACAGTTTATATAATATGCTACTTCTGTTAAAATGTGCGGGCAAATTAACATACTACCTAGTAGTGGAATTGCAGGGTCATATGGTAAATCTATGTTTAACTTTTTGAGAAACCAGTAAACTGTTCTCCATAGCAGCTGAACTACTTTACATTCCTGCTAGCAATGTATGAGGTTCCCAAAATTCCTTCAACACTTGTTATTGCTCAACAACACGTTATTTTCTTATCATTATTATTATTACATTTTATTATTATTGTTTTTATTATTATTGACATCCTAGTAGGTGTAATGTGGTAACTCATTGTGGTTTTGGTTTGCATTTTCATTTCCCTAAGGACTAATGATGCTGAGCATATTTTCATGTGCTTGTTGGATATGTGAATATCTTTGGAGAAATGTCTGTTCAAGTCCATTGCTTATTTTTTAATTGAGTTGTTTGTCATTTTGTTGAGATGTAAGAGTTCTTTATATATTCTGGATGCTAGACCCTTATTGGATATGTGTTTTGTAAATATTTTCTCTTTAGGTTCTCTTATTTTCTTGATAATGTTTTTGATGCACAAAAGTTTTTAATTTTGATGAAGTCCAATTTATTGTTTATGTTTTCTACTAAGGTATTTATGGCTTTAAGCTCTTACATTTAGGTCATTCATCCATTTTGAGTTAATTTTTGTATATAGTGTTAGGTAGAAGGCCAAATTCATTCTTTTGCTTCCTGATTGTGAATATGCAGTTGTCCCAGCACCAATGTTGATGAGACTATTTTTTATCCATTGAGTAGTCCTGGCACCTCTGTCAAAAATATATATAAAAGCAAACATTCAAGTTAAGAATGTCTGTTGATCAAAAGACACCACAAAGAAAGTAAAAAGGAGCTCAGACAGGGAGCAATATAAAGAACGTACAAAGGATTTGGAACTTCTAGAGTATATAAAAAGAATTTACAAAATCAATAAGAAAAAGACATCCCAATAGAAAAATAATCAAAGCATGTATTTCCCCAAAGAAGGAAAAGTGCATGGCCAATTATAGGTATGAAAAGGTGGTCAACTTAAATAATAAACAGAGCAACGCAAATTTCAACAGTGACACTATTTATATGCTCTGAGATTGGCAAAAATAAGAAATCTGACAATACCCACGTTGGCGTGGACCGGAAGCAGTGAGAACTAAGAGCTGCTCTCGAGTGTCCGTCAATTTGTTACAGCTACTTTGTAACAGTATCTCATCTAGGCGAGTTGAGTATGTGCATTCATGGCTTTTGTATAAGCTAGCAATTCCATTTCTCGCAGTGTACTGGAGAAATTCTTACACTCACGTGTCAGGAGACAAACATAATGAATGATCTTCAGACTAGCATTGTTCATAAATAGTAAAAAAGTAGAAACAATCTAGGTATTTATCAACAGCAGAATGACGAACTGAATGCACATACTGTTGAGTAATAAAGCAGGAAAATAAACTTAACATTATTCTGTTTATATACATTCTTAAAGCATACAGATTTAGATAATTATATAGGATTACATATACTTATTTGGAAAAACTGTAAAGGAAATCAAGGAAATTATAAAATTAAAGTTCAGGATAGCAGTTACTCCTGGAAATGTGAGAGGTAAATATGATTAAGGAAGCACACTGTATTAGTTAAGATACAGGGTTAGCTTTTTGACAGAAGCAAGATGTAAGTTTACGTATAATATACTTACATACACAAAATGTAAGTTTATTTCTTTGTCTAGTAACCGATTGACATATTCTAGGCATGACGACTATGCTCTGTGTGGTTATCGGGGGGCCAGGCTCCTATTTGTTTGTTTTGAGCACTCCCATCATCACGTAGGGTAGGGTAGCTCACCACCGCAGCTGTGTCTCAAGCAGCAAGGCGGAAGAAGGAAGGAATGAGTTACCTTCTTAAGCTCACTTCGTGGACCTTGCACACATGACTTCTCTGGCTAGAGTTGGTAATTTTTAGATGCAAGGAAGATGATGTGCCCACTGAAAATCAGGCGTTTTGAACAGGCAGGAGGACAGCACAGTTATCAGGCAGGAAGTAGCCATGTCGCCCACAGGCTCCTCCTGCAGGCGAGGTGAGAGGAAAAGGCAGCCAAGGCGTTGGTCTTGTTCTACTTCTTAAAGTAGGATGGTGAGTACAGGTGTTTTTTAAAATTTATTTTATGCCATCCCTATAAATTATATATTCTTTTGTATGTGTGAAGAGTTTCATTATTAAAGTTGAAAAAAAAACAAAACAGTGGATACTTTTCTGGTGTTATTTTCCTTGAATTTTATATGCAGTTTATGGTATTGTTGATCACACCTTCTAAATATTTGAATTTTTATTGGCCAGAATCTCCTGGTTTTTCTCTTATTTCTCCATCTATTCCTTTTCAGCCTCCTTCACTTTCTCTGCAGGGGGACAAAAAGGCCTTTTCCTAGATGCCCCTCACTTGTCTCCATAATTATTTAGGATAGTTTCAAATTATCTAATGGGTTTCCCGGATTTGGAAAAATTGCAAGAGAAACGTAATTATATGGTAAATATTCAGATTTTATCGACTTTTATTCATAATGCTGTTGCCATATATAGAAAGAGGGAGATTCACACATTTTTTTTCTTTGTGATTTCAATAAATGTTCATTATACCTTTCTGAACTACATTATAAAAGAGCAAACAATTCTATAGTGAATCAAAAGTACCAGTGCATCTTGTAAATGTAAGAAAGAGCAACTGTTCCCAGAAATATATACATATAAATCATTAGAATCCTATAAATGACTGACATTCTTATAATCACGTATCCACATGTTATATATCTTTTTATAAAATCTCATCCATTTACTTGAGCATCCAGAATAATGACTGCATTTCCTAGCCTGCCTTGCAGCTAGGTATGACTATGCGACCTAAGTCTTGGCCAATGGGATGTAAACGGAAGTCATCCCATGATAAATTTTAGCATATATTAACAAGGACTATTTTTCCCCAATGAAATAGTCTCAGGCATACATGTATTTGAAGTTTTAGTCACTTAAAAAATTTTTTTAAACAAGATAAAATTCAGTTGGCCAGAGTTCAAATTTTAACTGTATGTCAGGGGTGGTGTCATGTTCTGGGAATATAAAATTGAACAAATTACAGTCCCAATCTTCAAGAGCTAACAGTGTTATGGTAGGATAAATATGCTCAAGGTGCTGTGGAAACAGAGAGAAAATGCCAGCGTTAACCAGGAAACTCAAATTCAAGAAAGTTGAAAAACCTAATGTAAGTTTATAAAATAAAAATGTTTAAAAATAGCATCTTAAGATATCAGTTCTAATAAGCATGTTAAATATCTGTTACTTTAAAAAAAAATGACCCCTAACATTATTGTAGAAGATAGAGGTAAGAATGAGGGAAGGGAGTACAAAGGAACTCTGTTAATTTATAAAATATCTTCTCTATAGGTTTTTCCCATTGATTGTATACTAATTTCATAACCAGAAAAATATTTTGAAATCCAGCATTTAAACACAACATGTATTTCTTAATGTAGCAATACAACTTTTTTGACTTAGCAACATGATTTTCTTGAGATTCCTGGATTCAAATCTTTATATTAAGAAACTCAAATTCATGTATCATGTTGCCTGTTTCATACATATCTTTTTAAATGATATATCTTAGATTTTACTTAATGTCAACATGTGAAATTCTCATAATACTTTACTGTTATTCCAGTGTAGATATTGTCTGGCATTAGAATTTAAGGCAGCAAGTCCAGTTTTATTAATTGGTTGTAACAGGTTACAAGATGGAAAAGAGAATATACAATTCTTAATGTAGCACCTGCTCACCATCAGTTACAGTTCTCACTAATCTGGAGTGTAACCATTTTCTTTCTCAAACTCATTTCTCTTTATTGTGATTTCATAAGATGGAAGAAAGACCGGTTTTCATAGACATGGCTCTTCGTTTTGAAAAACCGAAAAGGGACTAGTGAAATCTCATCACATCCATGGCCTCCAATAACTTACTTACTCTGTTATTTTAAAGGTCTTTCTCCATGGTGACTAATTAAGCCCGGACTTCTGTGTTATAGATACTGTATGGTAACTGTGACAGTCTCTCTGATTTCAATCTTCCGGCAAAAATGAAGTCTTTTTTTTTTTTCCTTGCAGACTTTGCCTTCTAAAGAAACAATGTTTTTAAATACTACACAAATGCCTTGCCTGCAGTCGGCTTCAACTTGGCATAGCTGTGAACACAATTCCAAGTCTCAGATATTAAGAGAGCACGTATCAGAGTTAGATTCTTCTTTCCATTCTGTTCTATCATTGCCATCAGGTAAGCATCCTTATAAAAAGGTTTTTAACTGTAGTTTCTATGGTGAGATCTAATCCTATAAATACAAGGAATGTAATAAAATTTTATCAATTATTTGTCACTGGATATTATAATTAAAGTTTTCATACAGGAATTAAGTTACCTGCTGAGTTAATGTTGTCTTTGCAAGCTGATTCTTGAATTCCTTGGAAACCATTTTGTTTTACTTTGGGAAGCAGCTAGTTTTGATCTCCTTTTGATTGTTAAATTTTCAGCGTTTTATTGATGGCACAGCTATGTGGATGAAATGTTTCTCAGTAAGTCAGTGTTCTTTTTTTAATGTGTTCTTTTGCAAAGAACTTTCCCTGCCATATACTATTCCTTCATTTATAATCAGCATTGAATTTCTTGCAGAGAAGAAAATTGTCCATCTTTAGGTCTAGTCAGTTTTTGAACCCTAATATCTATAATCCATTACTGAGTAAAGGAGACATAAACAGCCTCATGTCCCTAGGTGGCTTTTAGCTTCTAGTTCTTGGTTTTATTTTGGAACCTTTCCAGTCTTATCTAGGGACTGAAGTAAATATCGAGGGTTAAAAGGAAATATTCTACACACTGGTTACCTCGGGTTCTTCTCTTTATGGGAAGATACTTCAAATGGGCTTTCGTTTCCTTTTCAGCTTTTGGTTCCTGCTCCTCTTTGTAAAGCACGATTTTTTATTTGTACCTGCTCTTGCCCTGAATCTTAGCTTTGTTTTTACCAGTATTAGAGTGGTTTCTTAAGTACACAATATATCCTTTGAAGTAAGTTCCTGGCAGGAGCTATATTATTCCATCTCTGAGGAAACCTTAATAATAGAAAGAATAATAAATGTAACAATAATAATGCAGCTAACATTTGGTCTTAGCATATGCTGGGTCCTCCTATAAGCACATTAGTTTCTTGTTTAATTCTTGTAACAACCCTATGGTAATACAGAGGGTGCCAAAAATGTATACATTTTTTTCTTAAATTGGGGTATTGGGGGAGGGGAACAGTGTTGGGGAATTGGGGAAGAGGACCAGCCAAGTGGTTGTTCTTCAGTCTTCCTTGTGGAGGACACCAGTCACCATCTGGCTTCCCGTCAGCAGCTTGTGGCCTCTAAGCTCAAGGTGCTGTGTTACAATCTTAGTTGCGGGTGGGCGTAGCCACTATCCCATGCGGGAGTCAAACCAGCAAGCAGCCTTGTTGTTAAGAGTGCACACTTTATCCACTGACCCATCCAGGCGGCAGCTCAACTCAAGGTGTCGAGTTCAGTCTTAGTTGTGGGTGAGCGCAGCCCACCACTGAACAGGCGATCTTGTTGTTAAACCAGCTGAGCCATCCTCCCACCTGTTGGCAGCTCAGCGGCAGCTTAGCTCAGGCACAGCATCACTGGCCCATGTGGGAATCGAAACGGCGGCCCTGTTGCTCAGAGCTCACTTTTTTTTTTTTAAAGATTTTTATTGGGGAATTAGGGGGATAGGAACAGTGCTGGGGAATCGGGGTAAGGGGAACAGACAAGCCACTGTCGTCTTGTTCTTCAATCTAGTTGTGGAGGACGTCGCTCCACTGGCCCAAGTTGGCACCACCATCGCGCTCTTCTCTGGCGAGGCAGATCAGTCGCCGGCTTCTGGACGACCGCTCACCGCGGCTGCTGGCCGCTCACGCTGGCTGCTGGCTACACACGGCAGCCCATGGCAACCCACTGCCACAGGTGCTGCAGCCCACGCCATCGCCGGCGACTCCCAGCAGCCCAGCTCCAGGTCGAGCTGCCGTCCAGCATCTTAGCTGCAGAGGGCAGTGCCACTGGCCCTCATATGTGGGATCCGAATCGGGGCCCTCTGGCATCCCAAGCGAGTTCTCAACCGTCGCGCCACTCGGCCGGCCCCTCAGAGCTCACTTTTAAGCTAACTCTTAACCAACTAAGCCACTCGGCCTGCCCAAAATGTATACATTTTAAGAAAGGAAAAAACTATTAAAATTGTAATACTCAATATATACTGATAACAACAGATGAATATAAGTCATGTGTATATATTTTTTTGGCACCCCCAGTAGATACTGTTGTCCTTGTTATCTTACATATGAGAACATTGAGCCTTAGAAATGTTAAATTACACATCGAAGGTTACAGCTAGTAAGTGATGGAGGCAGGATTTGATCTGAGGTGGTCCTTCTGTAGAGCCCCACTCCTAACCTTTACTCTTGACTGCCTTTCTGTTTTCTTATGAACAGTAACAGTAAGTTGGTTTCTCTGATGACATAATCCTGAGAGTGGGTATAAACATCCTTCACCTTAATCCTTTTATGTCCACTCTAGTAAGTTAAAGATTAGCTTCCTCACCTAGTAATTAGGGTTATTCTTTTCTTCTTGTATTCATTTGGGAAAACTCTGAATACTGTGTACTAGGTATTAACTAGGTGCTAAGAGTATAAACACAAAATAAATTCCTCAAGGCACTTGCATTCGTGTTTAAGACAACTGAAATGTAAACTATATAGTAAGTACGTACAATGAAGTGTCAGGAAATATTCTTATAAAAGCCCACAGGTCACAGTGTGGATGCTAAGGAAGGCGTATGGCTGGGACAAGGACCTTCCCAGTTATAGCACGTAGCCCCAGAGCTCATGAAGAGCAGGAGAACAGGTGATAGTCTTTTTATAAGTGATATTTCTTTGGAGAAACACACTGATGTTTTGGTGATTGGAAATATCAGACTTCTGAAATGTTCGAGCAGCCTATTTAGCTTGTATTTTTATTTTCATTTTGTCATATAGTTTTCACACCATCATGGATAGTATAGTGCTAGGGCTGGCCCATCGTACCTCTCTGCTCCTTGGGACAGACTCCATGATACTCATGAATGTCCCCCCCTTTTGTTTTTTGTATAGTTTTCCGTACTTAAGTATGGGTCTGCCATTAAAATACATCAATTTAAGGAGAGATACTTCTTTAAAATCCAAACCCTTCCTGGGCCAATCTTGATTTATGAGTTCATAATTAGTTTTCTTAAAAATAAATACCTTCTTTCAGTAGCATCACTTTCAATATATCAGCTGCTTTATAAAATATTTTTTTTTCCCTTAGGAAAGAGTTTAGGTTTTTTAATACGTTCTTTTTAAGATGATTTTGTTTTTGCACTCTTGATTGAAAAACCCCTTTAATAAAGGTAAAGCACATCTTACTATTCCTCTTTTGGTTGTGAGACTATAGAATATAACTAGTGAAGTGAATGTCCAAGTTTCTATTTAAATAAAGAGAACACCTATTGACAGGTATTAATAGGTATTACCTGTCAGTAGGTATTAATCTTCGTAAAAGATTCATCTTGTATTCATAATACTAGTATATTAAGGGAATATGAAAGTTGATACTTTCATAAGAGTGCTTCTGAATTATAGTTGTTTTTCCTCAAGTGATTAAAACCATGTAATTATATCTTTTGGAAACCTTATTATTTCAAATACAAAGATTGTGGGGGTGGGTGGAATCAACTTAAAGAGTCAGTCAGATCTGGCTGTATGTTTTATTAAAGACCTTTTGGGTGCATTTGTTTCATCTGTAAACAGTAGTTATTAATATTTATAATTTTGTTAATCTTATGTACTATTTTAGTTTATGAAGCTGTTCATTAGCATTTTTCTTTGATTATTTAATACATATAATCAGTGATTCCAAAATACTGCTACTGATATGCTTTAAAAGAGTATTCTGCTATGTCTGAAAGTTGTAACTTTTCAAGCTTCTGCTTATTTTTCAAAGTTTATGTGCTATTTATAGAAAGAAAGCAATCCTAACATTAGAGTCTATAAAGAGTGGTGTTCACTGAAAATCCTTTTTTTTTACTTTATTTTTCTAGATGTGCCTCTTCATTTTCACTTTGAATCACTGTTTAAAAAGACAGAAATAAAAGGAGATCTTGCTGAAAACAAATTTGTAGATTGTATCATATCTCCATCACCTGGTATGTCATTTAAAAATCTTGTATTTTATATACCTTTTATATCTTTCATATACTTAACTATTTTTGCTTTCTAAGGAAATAAAATTTAACAAAGGAATAAATGTAAATTCTTAATTTTTAATATTCACTTTTCACAAATCACACACACACACACACACACAGACTAGAAAATACACGGGAGTAATCCTAACAAGAAATGTGTGATACTTATTGAATGAAATGTATGAAATATTATTGATAAATATAAAAGGAAATTTAAATAAGTGTGGAGAAACAGTATTCCTGGAGGTAAGATTAATAAGGATATCAGTTCTTCCTGTGGGTTTATATGTTTAATGCAGTGTAACTTGAAGTTCTAATAGAATTTGGTTAACAATATCATTATAAAGCCCATTAGGAAGAATAAACAGGAAAACATAAAAGGAATTACTGGAAAAAGAATTGAGAGAATCTAGCCCAAGCACATGTGGAAACTTGACAAAAATGTATACTAGTTAGCATTGATTCTATTTTGCCTACATTTAGGAAAGTATATCCATGAAGAAAAGCTACATACCTTATACTTTATTATATAAGGGAAGAATTGTAAATCAATGAGAAAATGGAGAACTGTTCAGTGAACAGCATTGCTAGTCTTTTGGGGGAAAGTTTGTTTGCACAGTCATTTCATACCATGTATCAGAAGAAATTCCAGCTGGTTCCAAGAATTTTAAATAAAACACTAAAATTATAAAACTTGAAAACTTACAATGAAACATTTATGAGTACTCTGAATGGGGGTGGGATTCCCGAGATGAAACATTGTCTATGCTTGGAAGCAAAAACCAAAATAACATTTTTACTGTCCACAAAGCTAAAATCTTCTCAACATCAAAAAAGTCATACAAAATGTTTTACTTCTAAGAGATTATTTCCAGGTGAAATAATCATCTACTTCAGAAACTCAAGAATCAACTGAATGCCTATTAAAATTGGAGTTCTGAAAGGTAGCAGATTTTAAAATAAACTTCTAAAAATCAGTAGCTTTTATAAATACCAGTAATAACCAGTTAGAACATATAAAGGGATAAATTATCCTAGACACACTGACAATGAAAATATATCTAGGATTAAACTTTACAAGGACCTACATGAATAAAACTGGAAAAGTTTAAGGAACAGAAGAGTACGTGCCTATATGGAGAGAAATACCCCATTCCTGTCAGAAGACAGGATTGTAACTTAAGATGTCATTTTCCCCCTAATAATTTATAATGTAGTTTTCATCAGAATCACACAGGTATTCTTCTTTTGAAACAAAGTTATTCTGAAGTTTATCTCGGAGATTGACCTTTTAAAATTTTTATTTGGATATTCATCAATAAGGAGGTATGTCAGATAGCAAAATGTATTATAAAGCAATAATCAGTAAGATACTATGATGCTGATAGAAGCCAGATCAGGAAACTGAAGGAAAAAACCTACAGACCAAAATGTTCGTTATATGATAAAGGCGGTATTTCCTATCAGTAAAAGGATGGCCTAGTCAAATAATAACGATAAACATTTTAATGATGTTTTCCTTATATGCCAGTACTGGTTGAAGCGCTTTATATTTAATTGCTTTAATCTGTACAACCCTGTAAAGTAGGTATTATTTTTATCCTTGACTAACTACACCCGTATCACAGTTGACAACCAAGTAGTAGAGCCAGGATTCAAATCCAAGTGGTCTGGCTCAGAGTTGATGCTTTAAACAGCTGTTTCTTCTATAATCAGTGGCATTAAATAATGACTTGGGAAAAGATAAAATGAGATCTCTACCTTACACAGTATAGTAAAACAAATTTAAGATGGATAAGCATTAAAATACATTCCAGACAGATTAAAGAGTTAAATGTTAAAAATTAAATTTTAGGAATTAGAAAAACTAGGTGTATCAATAATAATGAAAACAGGAATAGCTAACATTTACTAAGTGCTTATGTGTCAGACACTGCTAAATGTTTACTTTTTCTAATTACATTAATATATTTAAACATGATCATTAATTCTGGCAAGACTGTAGTTAAAACAGGACCTCATATATTCGAGGTAGTGATAAGAATTGATGCAGGCTTTTTGGGAAGTGCTGGGCAATGCAGTACAAAGCCTTTCAAATACATATTTTTTTAGTATAATAAGATAATTGAGGGGGGAAACCTATGTGTGCACTTGCTCACAATAAATTATTAAACTGTTAACTCTTATATTCTGATCCATTTCCAAGAAACTAATTTAATTCTAAATATGAAACTGCCTTTATTCACAAATATATTTTAACATATTTGTGATAAAAAAAATTGGAAACTTGAAGAGCATAATAGGGATATCGTTAGCTATCTAACCCAGCAGAATATACAGCTTTTAAAAATGTCTTGATTTTATATACAGATGGAAACATCAAAGAATGTTAAGTAATATATAAGGACAAAAACGTTTTACTTCTATATGGTACAGTTATAACTGTGTAAAAATATTTATTCTTTAATTAGTCAAATGCAACATGTGGGCCTTTTGGGGATCCTGATTTGAACTCACACACATGCACGCACAATTTTTGAGACAATCAGGGAAATCTGAATGTGGACTGGATGTTGCATATTAATGAATTGTTAATTTTGTTGTACTAATGTATGTGGTTACATAAATACACACATACACTATCAGTTTGTTAGAGATTCAAGCTGACATATATGTAGATGACAAGATATGATGTCTGCGATTTGCTTTAAAATCCTCTAGCAATAAAATGGTAGTGGGAAGAGAGATGAAACAAGATTGGTTACCAGTTTATAACTGTTGATGCTGAATGACAGATACATGGGAGTTCCTTATCCTATTCTTTGTTTGTTGAAATTATTCTACAGTAAAAAGTTAAAGAGAAGGGAAAAAATGAAAGCAGTAAGGACAAGGAACAATCGTCTAAGCTTAGGGAAAAAAAGACTCCAGTAATACAGGAACATATAGGTTATATTCTGCTACTTTTTCATATAATTCTTCTTCCTTGGAGACTAAACTTTTTTTAAAAGAGAAAAATGTACGTATGAAGATGATTATCTTAACAATGTCCATAATAGAAATATCATGATGACAACTAGCTCTAACAGCTAGGGAAAGTTAAATTACAATATATTGTCTCTAGTCACAGGAATGTTAGGCAACCATCTGAAAAAATAACAATGAAGAGTGAATTATCAAATTAAGTTACACATATATATTCAAATAAAAATGATATATTAAAAAAATATGAAATGTATGTATGAAAGGAAATATGCAAAAATGAAATTATGCTGTTAAGTGAGATAAGGTGTTTGTTTTGCTCTAATGTTGCTCTTTTATCTTACTTAAAAAATAGAGCAGTGTAACTATGTGAGGCACAGAATTGCTAGTCCTGTATCAGTGATGTCATGTAGTTAGTGATGGGGAAGGAAGCACTAAGAGGACACCTGAGTTGAATGCTGCAGTATTAGACAAATCAATGAAGTATTCTTTGTATCTCAATCTCTCCTCCCCTAACACTCCCAGCCCAAATAATTAAGCATTCATTAGATTTCATCCTATACAAGTATGTCTTAAATAGCTAGTCTTTTTTTATTTTACTGTTAGTGATTTCTACAGAAGCAGAATTCTAGTTTTAGAATTCAACATTTATTGAGTGCCTACTCTGTGCCAGGTAGACTGTTAAGTGCTGAAGAATCAAAGGTGAATCACAGGAAATCAAAATGCAATGGGGGAAACACATATATTATTATTAAAGGATGTGATGGGCACAGGTATGATAAAAATTTTCTAGAAAGAAGAGGGAGTGTATAAGTCTGCCTAGGGAAAGGCAGAGGAAAGGTGATGGGAAAAAGGCAAGATGAATTCTAGACAAAGTGAAGCTTCACAAACTTAATGAGAATTTAGAGGAAGAAGAGTGAAGGGTTCAAATCATTGCTTCTCAAACTTTAATGTGCAAGCAAATTACTTGAGATCATAATGCAGATTCTGATTCAGTAACTGAAATGGGGTCTGAGCTTCTGCATGTCTAACAAGGTCCCAGGTGATTCAAATGCTGTTGGCCCATAATGAGTAACAAACACGTTGACTTGTCATGGAGCCATGAAACAGGGTGATGTGTCCAAGCATATGCAAATAGCCTTGTGTGTGTTTAGGGTAAATTATATGAAGGCAAGTAGACAATGTTTATGTGCTTTCCCGGAGCTGGGATTTGTCCTGGACTGTCCACTAAAGCTGGCAATTATGAGAGCACAGCTGGCTTCAGGTAACAAGGAAGCAGGGAAATTGTGGGTTGAAGAGTTAATAGATGGTTAAATCACCAGTCGTGAGAAAATATCAAAGCCTATTTAAGGGCCGGTACTCATCAAAATATTCAAAGTCATGAAACGTAAGACAATGGAACTGTTTCAGATACAAGAAAACGTTAAACAGACCTAACAACTAAATGCAGAGTGATCAGAATTTTCTATAAAGAACATTATAGGAATAATTGGTGAAATCTGAGTAAGGTCTACAGTTAGCTAATAGAATTAACGTGTTCATTTTGATTGCGTGGCTATGCAAAAGAATGTGCTTGGGTTTTGAAAAATACATATTGACATTTAGAATAGAGGGCATTTTGTCAGCAAGTTAATTTCACGGGGTTCAGAAGATAAAGCAAATGGGATAAAATGTTAACATTTAGGGAATCTGAGTAAAGGGTATATGGGACTTCTTTGTACTATTACAAAGTTTTCTGTTAAGTCTGAAATTATGTCAAATTAAAGTTTATTACTTTTTGAGTGGATGGATGACAGGAACAATAGCACAATCACAAGCAAACAAGAAACCTAGGGCTCAGCCTTCACCACTTCCTCGTTATCTAAACCCATTTTCAGTGCAATCTTATAAATGTTTCAAATCTGCTACTCTATCATTTCTACCCCTCTCACCATCCAACTCAATAATCCCTTATCTATACTGCTTAAATAGCCTAATCAATTTATATTTTCTTCAAATCCCTGTACCAAGTGCTTTTCAAAATGCAAATCTGTCACACCTCCTCCCTGCCTCTTTTCCCTTCAAACGTGTCAGCAAACTGTGGCTCAAGCCACAGGCGGCTCTTTGGGTGCGTTCCGTCTCAAAAGTTTGCTGACCCCTGGAGAGCCAATCCTGTCCCTCACAATTTAAAAATTATTCAAGAGCCATAAATATATTTTTACATAATCACCGTTATGTGACTAATATCCCTTAAAATTTTTATAAATGAAACTATGATAGTTTTATTTTCAATTTTACTTCAGAGCCACATGTACGTACCCAATGAGCCAGCCGTCTGTGGCTTGTGAGACGCAGTTTGACAACCCCTGGCGGCTCTTCCGTCACAAGTTTGCCAACCCCTGCCTTCACATATTTGAAAGAATATCTTTATAGAGGACCCCTAAAGCCCCACCGACCTAGGCTGGCTCCTTCCCGCCTGTTCATGGTTCCTTTTTACCATGCTGCCTTACTCTACCCTACTTGACTGCCGTTGTTGCCAGTTTTGTCCTGCTCCCTGCTGCCTTTGGCTTTTGTACATACCATTCTGTCTTCCCCTTGCCATCAGCTATTTCTGTTCATCTTTGAAATCTATCACTTTATCTGGGGAAGCCTTTTTAGAGCTGTTTCACTAGCTATTATCTATTCTCATTAACCTCTCTTACTAGTACTTTCCTGTCACACATTTTATTTTGAGATAATGCCTATAACCTACATCAGGGGCAGGGATCACAGCACTTTTTGCTCTCCATTGTGTCCCAGGGTATAATAGGGCCTGCCATGTAACTGGATCTCTATGAAGTTATTGAATGAATAAATGAAAAGGAAGAAAAGGCAGGAGATGGGAGAGATACTGGGTCAACGTGTTTTTAGGATGGAATCTGGGAGAGCAAGACCAAAAGCTGGGAGGGTTATAAATTTAGACTCTGAATTGTGATATATTTCCTACTGTTTTAAGAGTCCACTGCAACCTTACAAAATACTAAAAGAAAAATGGTAAGTGTAAAGAAAACTTTTGAGTGAAATTCTATACAAAGCCTCACCTTAGTGAAGTTTTTATTCAAAACGTTTGATGTGCTTTTACAAGACAGAAGGTTGTGAATTGCTTTTAGAAAAAGGTGAATTCTCTAGAATTTATTTGCTTACAACACCTAAGGAAAATTTCTATTAAAAGAGTGCCAGATATACATTTTAAAACCTAACTCTTACAATTCTAGTTAATGCCCTTTTAGAAATGAGTTTGGAATCATGCCTGCCATTTTGTTTTCTATTTAACCTTTTTCTCTGCATTCTTTTTTGGGGGGTGGTAAGAAATCTTGGAGGCCATCTAGGAATTGTAACGTTTTCCCTGAATTCTTTCAAGTCACTATCATGTTTTCCTGGTTCTAGTTTCTCTTTGTCCATCGGATTGTCATTCCTTTGCAGTAATGTTTTGATCCTTTCTCTGGGAATCTTCATTGTGATGTGCTGCATAACTTTTTTTTTTTTTTCCATTTCTTTAGACAGAGTTCTTAAAATCTTAGGGTTAACATCATTGACTGTGGAAAATCTTTCGACTATCATTTCTTCAAATATAGCCTCCCATTTATTCTTTATTCTCTCTTGTTATCCCATTTTGATTTGCCCTTCCCCACCAGTCTATATTCTTGAGTTGTGGAATTCCTCTTCCAACCCACTAATTTTGATTTTTAGCTGTGTCCATTCTATTAGCCCAGTTAATTTTTTTCAATTTGAACAATTATATTTTCAATTTTTAAGGTCTCTCTGGAGAGGCCCTTGCCTGTTTCTCTTGGCAATATTAGTGTTTTAAAGACTTGTTAATCTGTACTCTATTAACACTTACCTATTTCTTGAGATGGTTCTTCCATTTGTTGTTTGTACGTCTTCATTTTATGACTTTGGTATTCAGACCTTTGGAGTCTTGATTGTGGTCTCATCTTTAAAGTTGATATTCATTACTAAGACTGTTCTGCCACTATTTATGGGATGCTTTTCATGGAAGGGGTAGAAATTTGCACTGTATACTATTTTTCAGAGGCAGCTAGGGATGGACAGAACACGTTTCAAGTGGGCACATGGACACAGCCTTATCTCCCCATCCACCCATCTCTCTGTTCAAGGCTCTCAGATTTGATGTGTTAAGACAGATAATGTGTGAGTCTCCGGTGCTGACATCCTCTCAGTTGCTCCAGATGATTGTTCTGCTCCTAGTCCCCCATCCTCCAGGTCTGGAGCACCTTGGGTGTTGATCACATTTCTGTGGCAATACTTTCCCATGCGCTTTTGCACTGAGTTTGCTCTTCAAATTCCATGTGGTATTAGTCTTTCTGATTCTTCACACATTCTGCTTTACTTGCAAGTTCCCTTTTTTCCTTGCTAGAATGGATGTATGTGTGCAGATCTGTGTGTCTATGTAAAATAAATAAAGTATCGTTTTTAGGGTGCCTTGCCATCTTGAAAGCAAGTCCAGTTACTATTGGTAGCCATGCTTTCGGTGTTGGTGAGAATTTGGCATTTCACCCTACTAGTTTTCCATTCCTTCCCCTATTTCTAAACCCTTCAAAAAAGCCAATTTGATTAATAATCCAGTACTAGAAATATATGGGTTTCAGATAGACACCAATGATGAAACTAACATTTATTGTTTATGTTGGGTATACTTCTAATACTTATTCCCCCTATTTTACAGATAAGGCAACTGAGACAGAGATATTAAGTAACTTCAAGTTTTAAAAAAATTCATTTCTTTGAAAAACTGAAAGAATAGGCACTGTCAGAGGTTGACGAAATCTGGTTTTTGCTCTCAAGAGGTTCCAGTCTGTTCATTCTCTAGAATCTAACTTGATCCTGAATTATTTTCAGATTTAAGCGTAAGCAGGAACTAACTTAAGGATTCAGATTGTATTCAACCAAGATTTACAGATTAAACCAGTCTTTATAAAATTTTGTAATTTATAAGACTTTGAGAACAGATCACTTTCCTTTTCATCTCCTTCAAATAATGGAGCAACTATAGGAAGTTGGGCAATTCCTGAAAATGTCTTTAAGGAATCTTATTCTGGGTATTTTCAGTTTAGGAGTATTCCATCTTGTACATAAGTATTTACTATGTAACTCTAAATGGTATATTAATATTCTGCAGTGATGTCAGTAGTAACATATTAACATGTTCATTATCTGTGTTAAGGAACTAAAACTTCACATTTCCTTTCTTTCCATTTGTTTTAGTACATAATACTTCTCTGAGTCAATGGAAAAATGGATATTCTCCTACATGCAAGCCTCAAATAAAGCCAGAATATTCTGCACAGCTGTTACAGGGAAGAAAGAAAAGACACTTGAGTGAAACAGCATTAGGTAGGTTAAAAGGATATGAGCACTCGTACTAAAACCTGAAAATAAAGTCTGATCTCCAAAGAACACGCTGCTTCATGTGGGAGTTGATAATCCTGTAGTTACTAATTATACAAAACATCCATGGTCCTATGAACATTAAACAGCATGTTCATGTAGTCAATTCAGAATTACTTGTGGCCTGGGCATCCATCTACTTTATGGCAATTAAGAATTTCTTTCCTATGTTTCCCTGACTAGAGTTTTCTTCCACTTAACTATCATCCTGGACAGGACTTAATCTCCAGGGTTGTTCTGGACTCAAACTATGTCAGTACAATGTTGCCTTGTAGAAATGTATTACCATTTCTGGTACTTACTGTGAAGGTGTTGATTCACTGAAGCTTCCTCAGAATTTTGAGAAACTGGATGATATTCAGTTAAGGTAACTCAACCACCTCGCTCAATTCACTTCAGGAACTTAAAGTTCCAGATGATCTAGAGAGATATATTTGAAACTAGAACCATTCCAATAATACAAAGTGAGGTTTTTGTGGGGATTTAACAAGACAGTTTTCACAGTTTTTGCAAATTAATGATAAAAAGTATAACTGGGAAGATATATATTAAATAGAAAATTATGTAGATACTCTTTTGGGTCTCGTTCATTGTTCCAATGGCTATAATACTATATATATATTAGTAAAGTATGCCCAGATGTAGTATGTCAATATGCCCAATAAATTAGAAACTAATTACATTCAACATGTACTGAACTGTAATTATACATGATGGATTTGACACATTTATCACTGCCTCTAGAAATCCCACCGTGACAAACCAAGTTACTACCCAATTGACCAGTGTGGCACAAAATTCAACTCCCACCCACATGGAGCGATTTTGTTATGCTAATTTTTAGTGCATCAGCCAGCTTTTGAGAAACTTTCATACCTGTATACTGAAACATAGGAAAACTTGTATCTCTTAATAAGATGCAGTATGAAATACAACTTATCTAAGATGTAAACTGTTTCATTTGAAATGACAGATCTAAGTTCACATTTGATGGAAACACAGGGACAGAAGAACAAGTAAGGTGCTTTATTACCAAGAAGTAACGAGACAACTCCGTAGAGTGCATGACATCTGGTGTCATCTCTTTAACTAGTAAACATCATGAAAAGACAGACTCTTCTAGTGTATAAGAAACCTAGGAAAGCAAGACCCAATTTCAATATGTGGATCCAGATTTGAAGAAACTACTAGCCATAAAGGACATTTTGTTAAAAGTGGAAAAATATAAACATGGACTGGGTAGCAGATTTTACATTATACAGGAAAATATTTAATATCCATACTAAAGTAAAACAAACAAGGGCAGTAAATAAGTGTATAAATATATACTCACAAACAGGGAACCAAAAGAAATGGAAAAAGTAATGTGGAAGAAAACAGAAAATACCAAGAAGTAAACTTATAATAACCTGAGAAAAGAGAAATTTCATTTATGAAATAACAGGATGCTATAAAAATGAGTAACAGAGAAAAGGAACATTCAGAAATAAGTACTTTAATAGAAAAATTTTCAAAAATCAATAGACTGGTCAGAAGATCAAGTTAAGGCAATCTCCTAAAAAGCAGAAAAATTAAAGATATGAAAACATGAGAGAATAGAGAATAAAATTAACAGGGTAAGTCTTGGAGGTTCAACCTCTGGATAAGTACAGAAACATGAACTTTATTATAATAATGTAAAGAATACTGTACAGAAAACAGGAAGAGTAAAGAGAGGGGATGAGATTATTAAAGAAATATGTATTGAATGAAAACCATCAAGACCCCAGAAAATGGAAATAACTGTGACTGACCAGTAACTTTTTATTTTGGTATGAGTTTTAAAAAATAATTTAAAAATACAACAAACAGATAAGGAATCACATTGCCTAACTAGGAAATTCTAATACCTGTTATTAACATATCAAACATGTCAATGTTTGATACTCTCAATGGTTCTTTCCATGGCAGGAGAAAGAACGAGATTTGAAGAGTTTGCTTTTCACCACGCAGAACTAGGATCTCACAGCAATTTTCCTGCTGTTACTAATGTCAACGTTATATCAAGAACCCAGAATTCATCATCACAAGTAGGTTTTTTGTACACTGGCCTCTAAAACTGCCTCATGGACTTTTGTTAATTAACAGCCTTGCTCTTATAGCACACATTAGCATACTTTGATCTTATTAGGAAGCAATATTTTTTAGTAGGGAGTTAATTGTTCATTAATCCTTGTTTATGGTTTTTCCTGTTACAATTTAAACTTTGATCATAAGCATCTCTACTCCTTAATGTGAAGCCAAGTGTAATCTTGCTAATAAGAATCCAGCACTTGTATTGTTTTTATTATCTGGTCAGAGTGGAGGTCAGAGGTGGGGAAGTTTAGGAAAAAAGTGTGACGCTCAGGGACTAGGAACACTTAAATGAAAACTGTAATAATTAATGATCTTTACTAAATGGCCCACTATTTCATAGCCTTTCCTAATAAAAAGTGAGTTACCGGTAAATGATCATTGTATTGACATTCAAGGTGCCTTATGGTAATCTTTTCTGATAAGAGGTTTTCATCTTAAGGCATTTTGTTATGTGTGCACACACAAATGTACACTGCATACTTACCAAAAGATTGCATTGGTTTACAGAAGATAGGTGTACTTTGTTTTTCTCAACATTCTATAATCAGATTTTTAACAATAGATTTATAAAACTCAAATAGGTATACTGCCGTGTTATCTTTATATAACGCATGAGAATAATCACAGGTAACTAGATACTGCTGTAAAACTACTATAATCCTATTTTGCTGCAGAATACTGCACGGCGGAGATTGCGAAGTGAGAGTTCTTATGACATAGATAATATTGTGATTCCCATGTCATTAGTGGCCCCAGCTAAGTTGGAGAAACTCCAATATAAGGAAATACTTACTCCAAGGTATGTATACTTTATTTTAAAATTTTCTTCCTTTTCTTGAATAAATTTCAATTTTCAGAATGAAGTTAAATTTTTATAAAAGATGCTCCTCTTCCCCTCCACCCACTTGTATAACCATGGACGGAAAATGGTGCAAGAAACCTTTATATTACCCATGCTGAAGAGTGTCACAACTTTGTGTTTTTAAGAATTGGGAATTCCTGACTTACTGTAGCACACTTAAGTCTTTAATCCAATGACATATAGTTATCTTTTATATATATGGCACTGAAAAGTCCTTTGGGGATGTAATTATACTAACAGATAATTCTTGCTCTTCAAAATGGAGGTTTATACAAAGTTTAAGGAAAGCCACTACCTCTGCATGGGGTATTCACACTGTAAGACTGTAACAACAAAGATTTGGATGTATTGCCGAGTGAGCAATAAACACATTAGACAGATGGGTGGGAAGGTCTGGGAAGAATCGTGAAGGATGGGGACGGTAGTGTATTCACATAGGAGACCATACAAAGGCATCTGGACAGGTGCAAGGGCTCGGCCACAGACGGAGGTTTTGTGGGGGGCAACAAAGGGAGTTAAGGCTGGAAGAGTTAGAACCAGGTGTGGAGGTCCTCGAATGCCACAGGGCCTGCTTCCTAATGGCAGTGAAGTTAGCCAACTTGTTTTAGGAATGGTGGCAGCAGTTTAAGGCTGGAAACACATATAAGCTGGGTGACTAAGTAACTCCCATCGCTCTCTTACAGCTCATTTCTAGTTCTCTTGTTGATAATTTCTGAGGTATTAACTCAGTACTCCAGGTGTTATGAGAATTCCTACAGAGAATCTGTTGATATATTCTACAATATATAAGAAATAACACTTGTTATTTGTGGTTTTGATGTTCTATAGCAACAGTGACTTTCAATTTACGGTGGGAGGAGGGGGCTGGATGGTTGAACTGATTGTTTAATACAGAGGAATTCTGTGGTCGTTATTAAACTCAAAAGAGGCCAGGAAGGGAGTCTTCACTCAAAGAAACTGGCAAATGCTACAAATCAGTTTTGTTGTTGTTGTTATTGAGCCGTTTTATTAGCAACTACTGACAGAGCTGTTTGAAATTGGTTTATATCTTCAACAGCTGGAGGATGGTTGTTCTTCAGCCTCTGGATGAATATAATGTAGGTGAAGAGGTAAGTTGCATTTCACTTACAGGATAATTGTATTTTATACATTATAAAGTCTGCTTAATTTGATATTTGAGGAACTAAAGTAATATAAGCCCTTTAATGTACACTGATTTTTATTTATGAAAGTTCTTCATTAAGGATAGTAATTTGATTAGAAAAAAATTTTTTGCAAAATTTGACTGTAAAGACAATGTATACAAAATAAAGAAAAGCCAAATATAAAATATACCATTTGCTTACATGAGTTGTTGAAACACTGAATTTATGTGAATCTCTACATTCATTTCTGGTATTAAGCCATATTTTCCTGCATGAGATTGAGTGTTAATATTCAAAGTCTTGGGAACAAACTGATTTTGAATTTGGAACATTTTGGACTTTAGAAAAACAATGTGGTGCATATATTATGTAATATTCACAGGGAGTCTAGGACAGTTCTCATAACCAAACATTAATGTTTCTATAATGAAATATTTATAGGAAGTAGAATAACCTCACATCATTTCAGATCAGACTATGTCACCAAATGAATTATGAAAACTTTTCCCAGAATTGTTGGAATTGCGGGTAAGGGATTGTGGACCTATATGGGTAAAACATATCAAGAGAATAACATATAACTAAATGAATTCCAAAGTGAGATTATAGAAGCAGTATTATGTAAAAGATATTGTTTTTGTAACAATCCTTCAATGCCCACTGATCATATTTTTCAGCTACCAAAATTTACTTATTAATGCCCTTCCCTTCTTTAATGCACTCTACCCTAGTTCAGAATGATCCTAGCCAGGAAACCCAAATTTTTAAAACACTACCACTGACGTCTTAAAACTCCAGATAAGTCACTAAGTTAATTCTCATTTATCTCAACCAGTTTTACTTTTGATATTAACATGTTCCTAGAACAGTGTACTCCATAAGAGCAATCAAGACAAAATCTTGAGTAAAGTTTTAAGAATATATATGTAAAATGAAAGCACTGTGAACCTAGTTATAATCTAGGTTAACTGTTCAAACATGACCCAATAGTGAAAAAGTTTAAGGAAAAGTTTTTGATGCCCTCCTTCTAGGGATTTGAAGCTCATCTCACATTTGTTCTCTCAATTTAGATTTCATTTATTTTAAACTTTTCTTCCTATTGTTCTCTTGATGAGGAACTGACAATCTGTCTCCCACTTCAAAATGTTTCTAATAAAACTTTTTCTTTCTAATTCCAGACAGAAGATCTTTCTGATGAAGTCTTCTCCTTAAGACACAAAAAATATGAAATGAGAGAACAAGCCAGATGGTCATTATGGGAGCAAAGCAAGTGGCACAGAAGAAGCAGCAGGCAGGTGTCACACATTTAAAACCCCAAACCGTGGAATCAACATAAATTCTGTATGAATAAGAGATCATTAAAAAGGAAAAAAACGTACTGTATAACATCAGCTGTTTGTGCACTAGGACTGAAACACTACATATACTGAGCTTATATTTGGGCTAATACATAGTGATGAAACGAGTTTCTGTATTGTAGTTCACGCTAATTCTCAGGCTCATTGTCAGCCTCAGAAGAGTAGATTTAACTGAGCAAATAATGTGATAATTCTCCCTAAATAAAGGTCATTTCAATGTTCTGTAAGAGGGATTAGAATCTGAGTAATCTATTTTAACGTAACTACTTCAAAAGTATGTTTTTATTAAAAAAATTATCAAGTAACCTGTCCAGTCTAAAAAGCAAATAGTCTAAAATACTTTGAACATGACTGAGGGAAGGGGGAATAAATTCTAAAAACATAATTAGTAATTATATATTTGAGGAAATCCCTGGTATTTTATATTTACATTTGGCTATTTTTAAGTATAGCCAAAACTCAAAAAGCAAGATCATATTAAAGTCTGGTAGTCACCTTACTGTGTGGGCATCTCTCATTTAATTAGTAAGTATTGTTAAAATACATTTCCTTATTTAGGTCTCAAGATATCCAGATTTGTTGTAAATCCTTATTCCAAGAGTTACTCTATCATATATGAGGTTTAATTCTCATCTTTCTCCACATTCTAGAGAGATAACTTTCCAGAAGTACAGAGTCAAATGTGAATCAAGTCCTTCACGGATGACATTGCAATAATCATAGAATACTCTGGAAACTCAGAAAAATTGTAAGGGTCAAGTAACTGTCCTTTCTTGTTTTCTGAGAGAAAAAAAAAAAAGAACCATAAAAACAGCAAAACGAAAAACACACATAATTTGGCAAAAGACTTCATAAAATACAATTTAAGTCTTTGAGACATGAATAGCATCAGGAAGATTAGCAGATGAATTTTAAAACATCTTTTGGGCAGACCTGTTTAAAGAAAAGCTACCGAATTAAATTGATTTAGTGATACCTTGGTTACATAAAATGTTAAGACCTTAAGAAATAAATATTTTTATTTTCTTGCTAGAGCTTACAGTAAAAATGTGGAAGGACAGGACCTGCTTCTGAAAGAATACCCTAATGACTACAGTGGTCAGCACTGTGCTGTTCCAAGTCCGCAGAGCCAGGATCGGACTACACATGGCTCACCTTCAGTAAATGAAGGTCAAGAAATCAAGGTGAGTGCAATCATGACTAGCTAAACCTTTGAACTGCCTTTTATCCTTTAAAAACTTGTCTGTAGAAATTCCTTGTGGCAAATTCAGGATTTGTCATTACGTAACAAATTCAGTATGACAATCAGTATAGATAGAATGCTGGGTATAAATCAGGATCTGTATTCCAGCATTCCAGTTCCATCACTCACTACACTTTATCTTTTTATGGAACATGTCAGTACCTAATTTGACCTACTCATGTATCTGTTAGGAAATGGGGATTCTATCAGTGTTTCATTATAAAACAAATCTGATTAAAGAGAAGAGCCCCTGGAACACAGTGAATGTTAGCTGCTATTTCTCTTCCCCTTCTTATAAAGGATTTTTACTTGTTTCCCAATAGATCCAGTTCTTACCTCAAGGGGAGTGTTTTCTACCACTGCGTCTATAAAGTTCTTGCACTTTTCTTCATAAGTAGGTGCTGGAAAAGCTAGAATGGAGAGAGTGGAGACTATAGAATAGGCAAGTCATGGAAAGCTCAGTGAAGGAAAAGTCAATAGGTGTTTGTAATAATGATGGGATGCAAATAGAGATACTGAAGTGCAGAATTAGATCAAAACACCTTTACAAGGGCTTTCCCAAAGTAGGCTGGAAATGAACATCAGTGCCCTATGGGAGTGTTTCATCTTCATAGAAGAGGCAAAGTGAACAAATAATTCCCAAAGGTCCCTAAACAATTCTCAGTATATTCCATTTTGAGTTGCTTGATATTTAAGTCCATATGAAAATTTGTATATGTTAAAGAATAGTTATTACAAAATTGACATTTTAACATTTCTTGATACATGAATTTAAACCAATTAGTTGAAACTTAACTAAACATGTTTTCTCTTTAAGTCTCTGTGGTGGGAACAACGGACTTTTCCACTGAAGGATGAAGACACAGAAGGCTTACTATGCAAAGATGAAAAAAAATAATCAGATTGAAAGATCAAGGTGAACTTTCAGTGGTGAAGTCTCCTGTCCAGTGCACCAGAGAACGACCACCATCCAAACAGGCAGGCAGACGGAATGGAAGAGCACAAAACCTTTGCTCTAGGACTCACTCATGTTAAAAGAAAAAAAATTGGTGATAGGAACAGGATAAGAAAACTGAATGGAAAACAGGAGAGAAAAGAAGCCCTGTTCTCGATCTCCCCTCTGCCCCCCGACTCCTGTCACTATTCCAGAGTAAAAGCATGTGCTGCATGTAGGAATCTCTTATGTTGTTTAAGCAACAGGCAAGGTATTTCTCTCCTTCTTGAACCACAGGAGTTAACTAGTTTTTCACTTACAGACAAGTGCTAGTCATTTGTGTTTATGATACAAATCACAAGCACCAAAAAGCTGCTGCAATTTGATGTCAAATCACATTACTGGATAAATCATTTTTAAAAGATTTTACATCTCCACACACACACACACATATATATATATATATATATATATATACACACATACTTGTGCATCAAATGATAGATCTTTTTTCTATACACATGGTAATTCATGAAAATTGCTTCAGAAATATTAGAATATACAAATATGTGTGTATAGAGTATACATATACACACATATGTAGTTTTTAAAAAACACTGGCAGTGACCACTCCACATAAAAATGCATGTATGGACTACCCCATGAAATTTAAGCTGCATTATAAATACAGAAGCACATTGTTTCCAATGATAATGGGCACTAAGTCTTGAAATATAGAGAGCAAATTAAAAAAAAAAAGTTTAATAGAAATTATTTATGGAAATTTCTATACCACGTAACACAATATGCCTTATTTGAAATCACTGATATCTGTTGGACTAAACATAGGTTATTTTCTATGCACTCCTAATAGAATCAGACAAGCAAAGTAGAGGTTAAGTATTGGTGTTTTTTAAAACTATCACATCTTTTAAAACTCAGCTTGAGTTTTTATCTACTTTATTTTATCTGTATCTCATGAAGAGAAGACACCAACGTAAATGAGCACCAGGAAAGTCCTGTCAATATAAAACATTGTATTTCTAGTTAATTTGGTCATTATACCATAGCTTATTCTATTCAAATAAGCATCTATTCTTACTTGTATCCTAGAGTGAGAATTAAAACTTTTCAAAGGATAGTGCTTCAATATTGGATACTGGAGTGTACATTAAGGAAAACTTTTTGAAGTTATTACATCATTTTCTGTTTCTATGTAAAAGTTGAGGACAATTTATATGAATCACTTTTTCTCATGTAAAAAAGGTTCAAGTTGTAGTACCCATTATAGCTGACAATTCTGGCCATCTGGCCTAGCCTCGGGGTGATACTAAGTTTTTGTTAGGGACTGGAAATTATGCTAGTCCCTTTAAAAAAGAAAAAAAATTAAAATTCAATACTGACAAATTTTTGCTTGTTTTACTGTACATTTATTTTTTTAAAAAGAAAACAACAGCTAGACAAACCCAAGTTGTCAGGCAAATAAACTCAAATCTTTGTCATGTCTGATATAATCTTCTATGTAAGTTTTTTAATTAAAGTTATTTCTATATACCTTATTGTCTGATTTGATTAAACACCACCTTATTCATGGCACAAAACTTTCCTAAGCCAAAATAAACACAAACATTAAGAAACAAATTTTTGCCTTATAATCTAGAAAATAACAACAAAGCAAGCTCTATTCCATGCTTAAGCATTAATGTTCTTATTTTTCAAATCTTATTTCTTAAAACTCACAGTAGCCTAAAGAAGTTCAATGACACTGGTCCTGTTATTTCTTGCCATACGCGTATATGTGTTACATAGCAAGAGTATTTACAATAATGAAGGGGCATATATATTTGTTGTCATAGCATAATTTGGGACACAATATTTATTTTATGGATTAACTCTTGTCATCTCTTAGCCTACCTGTTTTTTCATGGATTAATAAAATATGTATCCTCGGAGTCAAAATCCATAGTTCCAGAATGTCCTCAGCCATCTGGTTCCGCTACAGGGTAAATTTAGACTGGGAATAAGACAGTGTTAAGTAAAAGAAGTGTTCTTTGCCTAATGCCCCTCCCAAGGCCTCCATTTGTAAAAAGAAAACACACCAGAAAATCCTATGCCCTACTGGATCCTTTCCATGCTATCAGCCTGTTGCTGAGCTTTAGTAGCTTCATTTTTTAAATATGCACAAAAGTACCTGTCCTACCACTCATAGGAGTGATTTGTAGATTTAATGAGATCATATCAAAGTATTTTATAGCGTACAAAACAAATTTATGATCGCTTTGTACTGAGCCTCCTCATTGCCATCTTACAATTCTAGCAACAGTAGTGGAAGCTTTACATACATAATAGTATCTCTGTTAATCCTCAGTACAACCCTGCACAGTTATTACAATTGCATTCAACGTATAAGTCAGTTAATAGAAGCTCAAAGAAACGGGTTGATTTGATTTGCTAAGGTCAATAGTTGGAAAGGGGGAGAGTCAAGATGCAACTCCATTTTACTTCCAAATGGAAGATTTTCTTTCCTTTTTGCCCAGAGCTAGCACATTACTTCATGTCCTTGAGAATGGTGGCTGTGATGGGAGGGGGGAGGGGTGGGGCGGAAATCAGTGAATAACCTGCTGCTGCACTAAAGCTAACAAAGGAACACCGTGATAAAAATCTAAGCTTGTATTTTAAAACAAACTACATGAAAATCGCTGGGCTTCATACATTGGTTTTACAGTCTTTATATATCAAATATAAGGTGCAAAGTAAAAAATAGATGCTTTAGAAGCAAGAAGAATATGGTATGCCAACCCAGCCAGATTCATTTAGATTTTTCATTGAGTTCCATTCTACTCATTATCACACACATATACAAATAAAAAATGATATGAAACAGGAAAAACATAAGGACTTCCTTTGCTTTTGGAAAACAGCCGAGAAACAAAAGAAAACACTTTTTAGAAGTGGAAAAAAAACATGTTTTTCATAATAGCTAATATGCCTTCCTTAGGAATTAAGACACATTTCTGTTTATAACCTTAAAACAGCCATATTTTTACTCTTTATAAAAATCAAGTTTCCCAGTAAAAATGATCTCTTACCACACTAATGTTTAAATTCCGTCACTAAAAAAGTAGTAATACACACCAGTTTCTAACCTCTTGGAACATTCTGCACAATAGACGTTAGTCACTGGAATGAATAATTGCTCAGAAAAACAGCACTGCCTCAATTGTGATAGGATTTGGTAGTCAATATTCTTGTTTTCCAGTAAAAAGATTTCATAAGCAGAAACATGGGATGCCTTGTGCTTTCATCGATCAAGAGAGCGTTTCTGAGCAGCTTCTGAGCAAACATTTCTTAACAGGTTGATCACAGATCTGGGGTCTTCACTCCTCATAATGGCACTGCCAGACACAATCATGTTAGCTCCTGCCTGCAAGAAGTAAATACTTAGTTATACCTCCAAGGAAGACATAGAAAAGCCTAAAAGAATGCCTGAAATAGAGTTTCTACCCTTGTATCTGTCAACACTTGAATTTTACAGAAGCGACTTTGAGATGAACAGATTCAAGCAATCTGGTTCAATGACGAAAGGTTAAAATGCTTAACAAATGAGGACGTGAAGCTTTTGATAAGTATAAAGCAGAAAAGTGTGGCTTTTATAAAAAAAAAAAGAAAACCCAAAACAAATTGGAAGTGCAGATTAGACCAAGATGCTTAACACTAACAGGAACGTAAACTTTTAAATCACCTGCAAAGCTACAGGAAGGGTTGGCACCCACTTAACTGAAGCTCAGGTGCCCCACAGCCTGGTTTTGGAAAAACACTCATCCCGCCTCTACATAGAGGGTTAGAGGTATCCAGAGTTCGGATTTAGAATTTCATCATAAATGGCTCTAGTCAGTTCTTACAAGCGACAAATAAGTAATTAATACACCTACTTTCTACAGAATAACATTTTTTCCCCTTTATTAAGAAGGTATGTATTCTTTTCCTATTTGGAAAAATGACTCACTCCAGTGAGTCACTGGGACTTAATGATCCCCTAAAGGCTGGCATTCAGCATATTCTTTTTCAATAAAGAACTTTCTTCAGCTTATTGAGATAACTGAACTTACTAATTAATGATTATGTGATTTTAGAATATTTACTCAGCTCTTTATTTACCTAGTTCTACATTTGAACAAAAAATACTTTTCCAAGAAAGAAAGGCAATTTAGGAAGCATAGGGGAAATCTCTTTGGGCATCTGACAGGAAACTGGTTTGGGTCCTAGTCGAGCAGTCTCACCTCTGCACATTTATGGATAGTGTCAGGACCTACTCCACCATCGACCTCTATGTCCAAAGATGGGAACTGGGTCCTCAACCAATGAACCTAGATATACACGAGAAAATAAGTGACTCCTAAAGTGGGTATGTTGGGGGGCAGGACAACAACCAAAAAATCAAACAAACAAAAAATCAAATAGTTAACATTAGTCACTAAAATAGGACTCCAAATGTCTCACACAATAACTATATCAATATACAAATTATGACTTCGGAAAACTTCCTTTTTAATATACTGAAACAAGTTTTATAAAAGCAAACTTTGTTCTGTTTGGGAAATGGTATTTAATTTGCCATGGCTTTGCAGAGAATATACTTCATGGAAACAAGACAAAGACAAAACCAGCAACATCCAATGGAAATTCCCCAAAGCTCTAAAGGTTACAAAGATAATGGTTTTGAAAGAAAATTCAAGATTAAGATGTAATATCTTTTCTAATTTCCAAACCTGAATCTCTTACGACATTTATCAAACTATTACAATGATCTGTGTGCATTCCCATCTCCCGCCCCTCAGGACATGTCTAAATATACAAGTGGTTCAATACATGCTTATTGAATGAACACACAATAAAAGCCTCACCCCAGAACTAAGTACTTCTTTTACCTTTGGCATCATATCTTCCATGAATTTCTGCCCTCCAAACCCAGGTTCCACGGTCATAACCAAGGCCATATCTATCTGATTAGCCCACGGTGCCAAATACTCAACTGTAGTTCCTGGTTTGATGGCAAGGCCAACCTGTGACAGAGATAAATTGGCTAATCACATTAACAATTACTTTCATACTATACTATTGTGGTGTATCAGGTCTAGCAGAAATGTCTATTTTTTAAAAAACAGAATACATATATAAATAGAATGCGTAAGTTCAGACTACATAATTTTTTTTTAAGTTAACAGGCTATTAAATGTAAATGTTTCTAACAGGAAATAATATTCAAAAATTATTATACATTATTATACATAAATAAAAAAAGTTATATTTAAACTTTGGCTTCCTAGATGAAGAAGAGCTGCCTAAGTCCGGTCTTATCTACCTATCATTTCCTGTCTTCCACCAAATCTCAACTATGAGTAGGAATAGTGCAAAACATGACTGTCACTGCTGACCTCTCACCTTCATCCCATTCTCCCGAATGTCTTTAATCAAAGCCCCTGGGTTCTCAGTAGCCTCGAGATGAAAGGTATACTGATTGGCTCCTGCTACAGCCATTGGCTTTACCCACTGTTCCGGCCTCGACACCATCATGTGCATGTCTAGAAAGAAAAGACACATCTCCTGAATATTACGGAAATAAAAACACCTGGCTCATATTACTGAAGTCTACTGTTTTTGCTATTTCGTATATAAACTCTTCTGACATCAAAATAATTGTTAAATAGTTACACTTCTGCTTAGCTAGCTTCCTTTTATCCTGAAGGTAAGGTTTTGGTTAAACTCATTTACCAAGAAGCATATGTTGCTGTATATGAAAAGTAATGACTAGAAATTAGGAAACCTTGGTTCAGGAAATGCCCTTTATAACAAACTTTAAAAAGTCGTATTATCTATGCAGACTTGCTTCCTCATTTATAAAATAAAAAAGCTAAGTGATTCTCTTCACAAATATTTCATTGAGCACTTACCATACCATTAAGTATTCTAGGCCCTAGGGATAAAGCAAAAACAGATAAGAAAAAAATCTCTGCTGCCACGGGGACCACATTCTTAGTCGGGGAGACAAACCACAGAAACATAAGTAAACACAGCACACACTGGGACGGTGGTTACGAGGCCACTGTGGCTGTGGTGGGAAGCACTGCGGAGAGATGAGGTCAGAGGCGTGGGTGAGCAGAGCACAGAACTCTGCAGGCCTCTGGTTTTGCTCCGAACGAGATAAGGAGAACATGGCAGGCTTCTGAGAGGGGAAGTGACAGGGTCTGACTTAGAAGGCCACAGCCATAACCCAGGTGAGAAAGAGCGATGGCAGAGGTGGTGGGGTGCTGGGTGTGTTCCAAAGGGACAGCCACAAACAGTTGCTGTGGGTTAGATGTGGATGGGGACAGGAGGCAGGATGGTGCATGGACTGGGGTCTGAGTGCCTAGAACACAACTGCCATTAACTGAGAGGCAAAAAACTCCAGGGAGGATTTAGCAGGAACATGTTAATAGAAGGCTGACATGCATCCTAATCCTAAAGCTTGAATCATATAAAATGGGCATGGCCTTCTTAAAGGTCTCGACTTCAAACATAATAGCATTTAATGAGAATGAGAGGGCAACTTAAAAGAGGCTAAATCAAGAAATAACGGTTTTGACAAAGGAAACAAACAGTAAATACTCCTGTGCCGGGGAGATGGTGGTGAGATGTTCTGAGTTTTTGTTTTGCCAGAGGTAAGCGCATTTCTGACATAGCTGATCCACATTAAAGGAAAAAAACCTAGTATTCCAGAGCTCAAAGAAAACTCTGAAATGCAGTAAGCCTTTCAAAGTGTCAGCAAGAATATAGCACTTGACTACTGAAGCCAAGCTTCAAGTTTATATTTCTCAACTAACAAAAGTAACAAAAACAGAACATATATTAAAAGGCAGACTCTATTTGGTGTTTGTTTGTATTATAAACAATGAAAATGTAATGTGATTTAAAATACCTAGTTTACTCATTCCTTGAGTTACCAGACAGCTATGCCATTCAGTCTCTCGCAGGCGCAGTAACCACTAACAGCCCTCATGGAGACTCATGTTCAGGGAGTCCAGGGTTCAGGGAATTTGCCTGTAGTTAGCGTTTCAAGTGAGCAGTTCTCAACTGTTCTATCAAAATCCCTTTACATTCTTAAAAATTATTGAACACCCCCAAAAATGTTGATGTGGGATATTTGTACATTGAAATTCACGTACAAGAAATACAAATTTAAAAAATTTTAAAGTCTACCTATTATTTTTAAAAATAAAAAGCAATAATAAATCTATTATATGTTAATGTAAGAGTGGCATTATTTTACATTTTTGCAAGTCTCTAACGTCTGGCTTAACAGAAGACATCTGTACTCACATCTGCTGTGCAATCTACTGTAATGTGTTTTATATGAAGAAAAGTACATAAAAAAAAGTGCAGTACATTAAGTCTTTCCAGACAAGTGTGGATATTCTTCTATTTCTACACCAACCTCAACAAGTGGTACTTTTATAAAAGTTAGTTCACTGTGGAATCTGTAAACCCTACCAGTGAACTTTGTGTACTTTGTTACACTAAAATCCATTGGTCTATCTCACTTTGAATGGATCTTTTAAGAATTGGTTCAATCAATTACACAGATCTAAATAGTGACACATTTCACTATATAATATAAAAAAAATCACATGTTAATATCACTACAGATCTTATCAGAAAAGCTCTAAATACCAGGAATCTGTCAAGCTCATAGCAGTAGATACAAGTTTTCCAAAGCTCTTTAATTTTCACTTGTATGCTCTAACTTTATCAGTGGCAACAAAAACTAAGGAATTTTCCTTGAAGTAACAGGCTTAGTTAATTTTAAAGAAAATGTTAGTAAAATACCCAAGTTTGATAACCATAGTTCATCTGTCAGTTATTCTTTCAAGTGAAAATGGTGTTCATAAAAAAAAGCAGCTAATTAATTTCACAACTCAAACAGTGGTGCAAGTGGTTCTCCTTGAGAAAAACCATCATCCTCCAGTACGCAGAAGAGGTGCTTTATATGGACTTCACACTCTGTCACACAAAATATTACAAAGACATGCATTCAAGGACCATGATTTACTCAAATCAATAATTTGCACTGCATCACCAAGGATACTTCCTAGGAATACATCGTGATGAAGAATGTAATGGCTACTCGTACAGTTCATTACCACTGCCCTGATTCGGGCTAAGACGCCAGCAGACTAACTCACCAGTGCTTTTCATCCTCGGCACACATATGGCAAATAATATTGTACTATAAGAACAGTTTTGACCTCATGGACCATCTGAAAGGGATTCCCAACGGGTCCTCAGACCATACTCAAAGACCAATGATTTAGATAATAGCAAAAACTATTATCAATCAAAAAACTATTCTCCTCTCACTTTATTTTTCAGATGGTTATTTCTACTCAATACTGAGATTAAACAGTTAAGAATTTCAGCAGTTATACATACAACTTGTGATTTAGTTACCAGAATATATTCATGTATCAATAATCCAACAACCAAGACCCAGGAATTAAACAAACAAATGTTTCTTAATATAAAAGACAAACGTTACAAAATCCAAACAATAAAGCACACGGAGTCCATTTATCTTTATTTCAGACCCACTTTTAGAAAGATTGATCAGAAAGTTTACTAGTAAAAACAAACAACAGCAAAAAAAAGCAGATTGTATGTGGTGGTGGCAATAGGGTTGGTAAGAGGAGAGGCACTGATAGGAGATCAAACAGCGGTGATAAGTAACACTAGGAGCCCAAATAAAAAGGAGAGAAAAGGAACAAAAAAAATTTTAAACCCACACGAAGCCATAAGTAGAAGATTCTGTGGCCACTGTACAGCGGGGCAAACAATGCTCCTTATTTCATTTCATTCACCTCTGTTAGTCATAACACATTTATACTGGAAAATTCATTTTCCAAAATGTAGTAAAAAATTAAGTTTCGAAGATCAGAGGATTATATTCTGTTATTTGGAAATTTCAAAATGGTGAACACGTTGGTAGAACCTTGTTTCCCTCGTGCCACGCAAATTAGGCGATAATATACAACTTGCTGGTGTGCTACAAGTGGATGGATACTACAGAGAAGCCCTGTCCACCAGGCCTTCCTGCACTAAGGGCATGCTCCTAGTGGCGCTGTGCAGTACAGCAGTCACTAGGCACATGTGGCCGATGAGAACTTGCAATATGGCAAATGCCACTGAGTAACTCATACACAAGGCAGCTGGCAAGTGAGGCACTGCTAACTTAGTTTAAAAGAGCAACAGGTGGACTCAATTCATGTTCCATGAGAAGCAGTTTCTAGATTACTGTGTGATCTTAAAAATCTGAATTCATATTATCTTATGACATTCAAGTGGGAACATCTACAGGCTCCACTTACAGAAAGCTCCAATTTGCATGAAATAATTGGCTTAACTGCTAGACCATAAATCAATCAATTCATAAATTCACTTACCAATTACACTGAGCCCCAATCTTGTGTCTATTGTTAGCTCTAGGAAAACCACAGTAAACAAAGTGGATGAAATTCCTGCTCTCAAAGAGTTTATAGTCTGGTAAAAATAACCTCAGGTTGAAGGAAGGTCTAAGAAGGAAATCCAGGCGATATGGGAACTGCATAAGGATTAATTTAAGAAAGGCCTCTCTGAGGAAATGACAAATGATTTGAGGCCAAAAGATGAGGCAGAGCCAGCCAAGCGAAGTTTTCCAGTGCAAAAGTGCCAAGGCCCCAAGATAGGAGAGTCTGGCTTACTACAGGCGGTCAGTGAAACCCCGACACAGAGGGAGGGGTAAAAGCATTGCAGATGAAATTGGAAGTTGAGAAACCAACCACCTACTTTTCCTTTGCTTGACCAAGACATCCAGTTTCAGATGGCATAACACCACTTACCAAAGAAAGGGTCCTGGCCTAGCTGCTTTCGGAGGCTTTCTACCACAGGGTGACCAAAGGTGATGTTGGGAACAAAATGCCTACAAGACAAACAAAATCTTACTCTGAAAATGTTTTCAATGCAGTTTCTGTATTTTTCTCAATATGTATTCTTAACGGCGGTAGAGGGAATTGTCTGTGATTGCACTATTTTTCAATTAAATATTTAACATCAGTATCAAATGATACTAAAAATATCTAGATAATTTTGGCTTTACAAAGCAGTATCTCCTTGATATTTGAACAAATCATAATAATGCCATATGATTTAACTCTGTTAATTCATAAACCCCAACAGGTAGAAATGTAAAGATGACAAAATCAAAATCCCACAAGTTAGATGACTTGCCCAAGTCACATCCTAGTTAGGAAGTTCTGAATGCTAATATGGGTCTTTCAAATCCTAGTTTGTCACAGGCTGCTTGTGGCTACCTCTAATCCACTTCTATCATGGGCACTGACAGTTCATTAAAACTTTCTTAAAGATCATCAATAAAGAAACTTAATGTGTATTAACAACCACCATTTACTGAGGGTTTACGACCTGCCAGGTATTGTAGCTCTCACTTCATCTTCACAACAGCCTTATGAAGTAGATGTGTTATTATATGAAGAGCATAGGATAAATAGCTACAAGTCAACCCATTAATTATTTGTGAGGGTAGGGTTTCAGTGAAGTCTTCAGGTATGAGACCCAAAGTGCTTAACTGTTATGCTACTCCATTAAGTCATCGTGATCTATCAGGTACCATGCTGGGTGTTTCGGAGCACTGGATTTTATAAAAAATATGTGAGAATTCCTGATTAGCCCAGGCAAGTTTGCAGTCTCCTTGGTCCAAGACGCCTAATGACTCAGCAGAATCCATGACCTACGGTTACAGTAGTTGTTGGTAGTAAGCCAGCGCAGCCCAGGACCACGTTTCCCAACTCCCTTTGTATCCAGCTGGCCCATGTGACCAGCCCGCACCAACGGACTGTGAGTTTCAGTGATGTGTGTCACTGCGAAGCCCAGGAAGTTTCCTGCTCTCACTTTACCCTTCTGCCGATAAAGAAGCCCTTAAGGAATGGCAGAGCCGCAGGATGGAGACTATGCCCCTGAATTTCTGCATGGAAAAACTTTCTCACTGAGTTGTTACATGAATCAGAAATAAAGTTTCTAATGTTAAGCCACTGAAATCCGGGCTTTATTTGTTAAATAGGTATTACCCTACATGAGGATTCCAAATAAAGCTAAACAATAACACACAGACAAATATGAGGTAAAATGGTTCCAGAGGAAAGGAGCACAGCACTTTTTAAAATGGGGAAGATCATGAGATTTAAAGAACAAACAGAATTTGTGAAGGTGGGAAAAGAAATGAAGCAAAGGCAAAAACAGGCAAGTTATGTACAAAGGGGGAAGATGGTGTTGCCTAGGGTGGCTAGTGTGAAAGAGGCAAGAGGCAGACCGTATCAGTCACGGTATCAAATGCCAGGCTCAGTGACTGAACTTTATCCTGTTGTAAATATGAAGTGAGGTTTTAAAGCAAGAAGCAAATAAAAAATAAGATGCAAATAATAAAGTAGGAAGAGGGATTGGGCAGTAAATTGGAAGAAGGGAGGAGGTGTTGGCAAATGGCAAGGAACAGTAAGGATGGAAACAAGGACGGGTAAAAGCGATGGGACATATTAACTGATGAGATAGATGTAGGGGGTTGAAGAGAGACAACAGACCACGGTTAAGAGCTTAACTTTAGGTGACAGGCAGAACGAGCATTAATTAAAAATGAAAACTTATATGGACCAGGCACCATTCTAAACACTTTCCATGTGAACTCACATCTCGATGAGGTAGCAGCTACCTTATCTGTATTTCACAGATGAGACCCACGGCCACACAACCTGGCAGTGCTGGAGGAGGCGTTAAAGGCAGAGAACCTGGCTCCAAAGTCCAGGTCTTTACTATACTCACCTGCCCCTCCAACAACAAGCGAGTAACAGAAGAAGTCCAGGTGAGAAGGAAACTTGACAAGGAGGCCAGAATTCAGGACACACCTGAGGGGCTGCTAAGGTGGATGGGTACAGGCACTTCCACCCGAGCATGGCGGTCCCTGACGGTGGGTTTTTAGTATTGGGGAAAGCAATCATTCTACCATTCGCCCAAGAACAATTACTGCTAGGGTTATAGATAAGAGGCTCATGGTGTTTACTTCCAACTTGGAAGTAAGGGTCCGAGAAGCAGGCAGTGAGGCTTACTGAATATTACACAACTCTGGAATTGAAAGATCTGCATTTCGTTCACTGTTCTTTTAATTTGCTGCGTGGCCTTGGAAGTACAGGCACACCTTGTTTCATTGGGCTTCACAGGTGTTGCACTGTTTACAAACTGAAGGCAAGACCCTCCATCAGCAAAAAGACAAGGACTCGCTTTATTTCGAAGCTCACTCTTTTACGGTGGTGGAAAAGAACTCACGATATCTGAGGTATGCCTGTACTTTTTTTTCTCTCAGATTTAGGTTTCATTTATCGTGAAAATAAACATAACCATGTCTTGAGAAAATAACAAATACACTTTTACTTCATTAGGAAATAGAAGCAGATTGTATAAAACCACTGACACCCAAATTATAAAAAGAACTGCGCTACTGAAGATCAATTCAGTCTGCTAGGTTCACCAAGTACACTGGGAGAACACAAATGCACCAATATCCTTAGCAGACATCAAAGGCTTTTAGCTAAGTCATAAGAAAAACAGGCTACAAACCCAAGCATGAAGTCAGGATGACCCCAAATTTGCCTAAGTTACCATGAGAGCGCCTGCCTGCAACAAAATGATTTACACGCTCTATTCCAAGCCCACTGACACCAATGAGGACTTGGGAATCCAAATTCTTAATAAGTGCCCAAGAGTTCTTATCAGACCTGCATGGAAAACACCAACTTATTTCACTCTAATGAAGAGAAATTTCATCAGGACAACTGATTCATTATCACATTACTTTTTTTCCTTGAGGGTACTTTTGGGAGTAAAGTCCGCAAAATATAAATGCAATAAAAAAGTCTGGTTTTCCCAGAGAACTTACAGAAAATAAACTATCATTATTTATAGCACAGGGATACACTTATTTTATCTCTCATTATGTTCCATCATCAACCATAAGCTTTGTTTATAATTGTCATGCAATCTATTTCAGACAGATGAAACCTTTATCAGATCTCCCAACAAGGCAATGGTAAAAGGTCTAACTTTGATATAAAATGTCACAAGACTGTAACCAAAAAAACCTTTCTCTGAATCAGGAATCATAAACTCATATGCCTACAAGAGACGGCAGATAACATAAAGGAGCAAAACAGGGCAGATGGGGGGACAGGAGACAAATGAGTATCTGACCAGGCTAATGGTGGCTGTCATTCAACTCCAGCCTATTGTGGCCTTTTGAGACTGTGGGCCCGGTATTGGCAAATCTTGGATGTTTTTCAAGTTGAAAAACTAGTACTAGTATGAAATCTCCCAAATTTTAAACCCTAGTAATTAATTTAGAAATTACTTATTTGCTGTGTTCCCACACTCAGGACAACACATTTCCAGTCACTGTCGAGTCATAATGCATTTATATGCTTCCCATTTTTTTCCCCACTTGTCCTTTATTTCAGGTATCTAAACATACTAGTGCCCCACCCCCCAGTGTGCCCAGAATTTGTTCCTGACTTTCCTGATGAAGACATTGTTTTAATCAGGAGAGAAACGGGAGCCTCGCAGGAGGCCAGAAAACAAGCTCTTCCAAACTCAGCGTAATGTTGGAGATTTTGAAAGGGGACCAGGAAACAGAGAAGCATGGAGGCAGTACCCAGAGGGAAGGCACACTGAGGTTGGCCACCTTGGGGAAGGGAGTCCATACCCCCACTTTCAGATCCCTGGCCCCAAGCCCTGCAGCTCAGCCTGGCTCTACCCCTTCTGGTGGGACATTCAGGAAGGGAATGAACCTCCCTAAACTGGTTTCCTCCTTTGCAAAAGGGGAATAAAAATAGCTGTTAGCTGAAATAGTTGTGAAGCCTAAAAGGTGTACGCAGAACTCAGTTTTTTCAAACGAAGATGTTTCTTGGCAGAGGAAGAAATGAGTCAATAAAAAACAAATACTTTTATCTTAAGCTCAGGGTTATGATAAAGCCTTTCATTCATTCAACCAACTGTAACTAAGCTTGTCATGGGTGCTTTACCTGCAAAGAATACAGAGTTGAGCCAGAGAAACAGAACCTGTTTTCAGGGAGCTTACAGTGTAGGAGAGCTATGAAATAAATAGAAATAAGTGATTAAATTACACTTTGAGCAAGAGAATGGCTTAGGTAGTCTCTGTAAGCCTAGTACCCAGAGAAGACATTAAATGTCTGCGACAACACAGCCTTTGCATGCTTCCAATCCTAGCTCCACCATTTCTTAGCTATGACACCACTGACGGGTGACACAACCTCTTTGCATCTGATTCCTCACTGTCAAATGCCGGTGCTACTAACAGCACCAACCTCTTAAGGTTGTGTGAGCGAATCATTCACAAAGAGCATAGAACAGAAATAGTTAAGTGCTCATAAATACTAGCTACTATTGATATCATTAATATTCCTGATTTTGGTGAGCTCAAATTATTTTCTCCATTCACCCAGTTACTCAAACATGGTACAAGACTTACTTAAAACCAAATTGCTTTGTGTCAAATAGGCTACATACATATGCATGTAGCCTGTTCTATTCTGAAACCCCTATGTGTCTCTGACACAAAAATTTAACTACCCATCTCTGAGGTACACACTCCATCCAAGTAATATTATCTGTGAAAGTTCAGGGCTTTCAAGCAAAGGTTTCAAAAGTATATAAGCAGAATTACATGAGAGCAAACTAAAAATGAAGCTTTTGTGAGCGATAACATTTACAAACCTTTTTACACACTTAGCGTAGAACTCTCAGAGTATTCTTAAAAAAATCAAGGTTTTGCCATTGACAATTGGGCACACTGATAAGGTAACTGAGTGGAATGCAAAAAAGAAACAACCGATTTAACCAGGCAGAACAAATGAAGGCAAAATTCTTACAAGAGGAGTGACATGAAAAAGAAAGAAGTAAACGATCATCTTTTATAAATACACGATTTGCAAATTTGCATGAGGGCACAGAGACATTTTATTGATTTAACATAAATTTATTTTTCAACCCTAACCCAACGTAATGGTGGTTATGATTTTATGGCCAGTTATCAGTGAAGCTAAGAGAACTACTTGGCAAACCCAAGAAGATCCAAGTTGTAACTCTGTCACAAGATTGAGTAACCCTGAGAGATTCTTACTGCTTTCTCCAGGTTTTTTTCCTCATTTTATAACCAAATTAAGAAACTAGCATCATCCTGGTTCCAAACAATATCGATTATGTGCTATAACTACAGTGCTTAAAAATTACTTACAAAAAACTGACCTCCCTGAAGAGCAGGGTGCCTGAAGAGAAAATAGATAGGAAAATCAAAATTCGAGCAATGATACAACGATTACAAAGAATTTACTGTATGTCTGGCTCTGTCAACTTTATGTGTACTACACCTCATTTCATCTCCCAAAGATGCCTAAGCGGCAGTTCCATTATTACTCGCCTTTTTCACGTAATGAAACTGAAACTCAACGAGGTTAAGTGGCTAATCCCAGGTAATCCCAGCAGGTCGCAGACATCAGGCAATCTCACCGCAGGTGCCAAACTCATTCGTTACACAAGGCCGTCTCCCCAGCTTCACCATAACTACCTGTATGAACTTGGGCAAGTCATGCCTATACCGCTGGGCCTCAGTTTCTCTAACTTGAAAACGAGACACGTATCCTAGAGATTTAAGATCGCTTCCGCATCCTAAGTGCTAGACCACACGTTACGCGGGGGGGAGGGGAGGAGGCTGAGATTTGGGACACATTCATGGCCCAGAATACCGCCTCAGCTCCGCTCTAAGCCGAGCCTCCAGGGTTTCCACCCCAGTCCCGTTCTTATTACCGCGTTCAAGAGGGAGGCGCTCCGCGGTACAGGGACGCCGCGCACCCAACAGGCACTCAATATAGGCGCGCCCATCTCGCCCCACGCAGCAACCCTGACCCGAGCCCCGCAGAGTTACCCGTCCATTACATCCAGGTGCAGATAGTCGGCCCCAGAGTCCAGCATTCGGAGGCACTCGGTCCCTAGATTGGCCAGGTCGCTGTTGAGGATGGACGGGCCAATCTTACAGCCAGACGCCATGGTGCTGGTTCACAAGAGCAAGTTACCCCACGAGTCCCCCGGGCAAGACCAAGGCGTCGCGCCCGATTGGTCGCGGAGTTTGGCCCGCCTCTTTCCTGCTAGAGTTTTCCGGAAGCAGTTCTGCGAGGGGGGGGAAGTCCCGCCTTCCCCGCGGGGGAAGGACTAGTAGCCGGAAGGCACGGGGCGTGGCCTCGCATAAAGGCCCCTTCCACCTTTCTCTGACCTTAGTTTTTGAAACAGGTTATTGGAGTCTCCCAGCCCTCTCAGAACTCAAGGAGTTCCATAATCTTTTCCCACCGTACATCCCCTATAGTTCCCTTTTCTCGGCTCTTGCCCTCGCTTCACTTTTTGTGTCTTCATCATTTGTGCTTTCTTTTCCAACCCCAGCTCGTTATCCTTAAAAACCACAAACCAAAACCCCCTTTGCTCCTTCTTTCTCTGTCTTTGAATTCTTCTTAAGAGCTGGAAGACTCAGATTTAGAGTGGAATCCTAGCCCTGCGAGATAGATACTAGCTGGTAAACCAAAATTAATTCTAGACTAATAAAAAATAAAAAGCATTTGAGCAAAAGTGGCTGCTTAAAAGTGGCCCCAAAGACGCAGAGTCAGGTAACAAACTATTAAATTATGTTCTGCTGAAACCAAGGGGAGGCTGTCTTTTATAGTGAAAATTCCTGCCCAGGTTCCCAGTTAGGTCCGTTGTATGTAAATAAGGTATCCAAATCTGTATACTTGTGGTCTGAATCCTGCAGTCCTGATTGGTCAGCAATTCTGATTGGATGGCGCATATCGTAAGTCCATTGGTGGAAAGAGGAAACCAGGAAGTCCCTTATAAGAGTTGACTCAGCCTGAGTAAACAAGACGCAGTACAGGAACACTGAGTTCAGTCTACAGTTCTAACGGGTATACAGAGTACGTGAGAAGCCCCTGTCAGCCAGTAGCCACTTGGCTCTTAATATTTATAAAATTTGGGCCTTCGGTTGACCATGGGGAGTCCATCTCAGCAGATAAATTCGTTCTCAGGGTTCAAGTGAAATGCAATTTTCTTCTTGAGGTCCACAGCGACCTGTCAAGTCATTTCTTTCTGCCTCATCTGTTTTCTCATCTATTAAAAGACAGTGCCCAGAGTTTAGGGTTGTGAGGATTGAATAAGCAAATCCAGGTGATGGGCACAGCACCTAATACCTGGTACTCAGAAATAAATGACGGTGGTTATTGCTATCCTATGCTTCTGGCCCTCATCCTCTTCTTTTTTGTTCTTCTCTCAGGAATGCTCACTGAGTAATTGTATATGCTTATTTACTGTTGAGACATAATCTAGGAGAGGTATAAGAGTGTCTGTTCCTCTGCCAAACGTGTCTAGGGTCATTGGGTCAGGAAAGACAAAATACACATGAGGAAAACAATGGATTTAGCCTTAGAGGGTAAGGATAGGGCACTTTGTACTCTGTACAAAAGACAGAACTGGAGGTAACTTGGACCCCATGATCGTTCTTGGCCACATTCAGAGGACAACCAGGTCCTTAACATTCCTCCTGGGAATTTACTAGTCATTCCAGCAGGTCATACCCTGGGCAGAAGCTGGGGTATCTGTCTCCCAATATGCCCATTCTGCTTCGTTTTAAAAGTTAAGAGTGGAAAGTATGAGTAGAATGGAGCTCAGTTGGGGTTGGAGAGAGGAACTGGAGGTGTTTAATTGAAGGGTGACCTCAGGCCAGACTAGGGGGGTAGAGGAGAGACATCAAGACACACCCCAGGGATCCAAAAAGAACATTTTCCTGAATGAGATAACCTCTTCCCTATGTTAAGAAATGAGAAATGAAACGTAATCAGGCATCTTAAATGTTTTTTAGATTTATTTTATCATATGTGCATATTCAAACACAGAAGTCTTAATATCTTTCATAAATATCTTTCATAAACATTTCAGTATTTATTCATATGCATTTTTCCATGCTCTTTGGTCATTCAGTATTCATAACAGGCTTCATAGTCATCTGAGGGAAGTTGGCTGTGTAATCAATCATTTGTTTTTACATGTAAAATGGCTAGTAAAGGATTTTCATCCTGCAGTCACAGTGACTCTGGAAAAATATTATGGAGGTACATTGATCTGTAATGCTAAACAATCCTAAAATAATATAAGTAAATTTGTTTTAAGCTTTTCCAAATACATTCTGCCCTTCTTTGTATTCTCCTGAGTGTCAAACCAAACTCTGTTTCTGAATTGCTGCAGTTGAAGCCCACTAAATTAAATGAGGAAGTGGGACTTTCTACTCAGTGCCAAGGACAAGGCCATAGAATTGGAAGTGTGAAGTCACAGGGCATCAGCATGACTCAATATGATAGCAGCAAATTCTGGAGACTATTAAAATATCCTGAATAACTTGAGGAAGGGTATTTGTGTTTTGGACTGTGATTCTATTTATGACCCTTTCTTCCCTGTAGGTCTTTATACACATCCTATTCTCATCTCAAATACTGTTGGAGTTGGACAGCTGAGAGGAGAATGTTCTTCACTGTCTAAAGGAACAGATACTAAAGAAGGGAGGAGATGTCACCTTGCCTCAGGTATTTTTGGAGGGCTGAAGTAGCAAACCACTTACTTCTAGCCTGTGAAAGAGGCTCTAAGTAGACCCTCAAATATCACAGATTTTTTCCCCCCAAGTATTGTCATGCCCAATTATGTCTTTTGACACTGTGGTTCATAGTGCCTTGTCCCAGTGCACTCTACAGCCCTGTTTCATTTTTGGAAAAATCAAATAACTTATCTAATAGAATTACAGACAGCAGCAAATACTGAAAAATAAAAGTAAAATGTTTTGCTGTATTCAGGATTTGAACTGCTTAAATTGAATCTGAGTAGTATAAATCTATACCGAGTACTATAAATCTGTACCCACTATCATGGACGATACATATTTATTCCAATTTCACTCAAATGTTAATTTTAGAAGAAGCAACCTCTTGGCTGAGTCTAATTTTTTATACATGGGAAATAGGTATCTGTTTTAATTTTTCCCTGAACAAGATAATATCATTAAACATTATAGCTTAAGAAATGATCTAGTATTACCAATACAGTATTTATCATATGTAATAATTTTTAGTCATATGCTCAATATTTTGAACATTACAAAAATGTTATCTTGAACTTTTTTCTAATCTCCCCCTACTGTGTTTTTTTTTAATAGTTAAATTCCTTCAAACTCCTGGTACCAGTATTCCTGAGAATACATCTTGTGACAATCTTATGCACATACATGTAGATACTTTATCGATTACACATAAACATCCAACACATTACATTCAACACATTTAAGGGCACCTTAAATGGAACAGATGCATACATCTGCAAAATCTCAATAGTCCCAATATGAAAACATTCCCACTCTAAAAGGTCCTGCTTCTCAGAGTGGGGGCTTTTTTGCAAGGTACTTAGCTTATTGGAAAAGTTTCCAGCAGACTTCCATAACTCTAGAGTGAAGGAGTCAGGCTAAAAGGCAGACAGGTCAGCATAATCATATTCAAAACAGCCAAATACTTCTTAAATATATATATATATATATATATATATATATATATATATATATACATATTTAGGATTTTTGTCAGATACTTAACAATCTTCTTTGACACCTTTACTTTTTAAATATTTGATACAATTATACATAGACAAGTTGAAACAATAATCAAGACACTGGAACAAAGCACACACATAAAGATAGACTCATATAGCCCAGACACTTGTAATTACCAAACATAAGGCCTCTAACACTAATTTAGCAGCATAATTTTTAACAGGCAAAATACATCAGCTTAGAAAGAATCATAAAACCACTTATATGTATATTTCTGCACTTGAGAATTAACTCGGCAATAAGTGTCAATGTTCTGAAAATACTGTAAAACACAAAAGAAGCTTCTATTTTCTGAAGCTGTAGATTTGAAATTTTTAGTTTCATCCATTGTCTTTAACTCACAGATATTGTTCATTCTCTTAGTAAATGGGACCAAAACCCCAAATTATATTTGAAAGTATAAATCACAATAGAAACAATGCCTATTTAATAAGCAATTCTAACAGGAAAATAATTTTCCTTTATGATTTGGGTGGGTTTAGTAGGTCTCCTCTATATATACATATACTTCCCAAAGCCAACATAGTCCAAGTTTAAGCACACAGAATGTTTTCTTTTTTAAAAAATCCATTGCAATGTAACCAAAATCTGTGTTTGACTTCAACTGGAGGACTAGAAAACACACACACACTCACGCCCCTGCCCCTCATACCAATTTAGGTATGGGTATGAGTTTTTATATGCTTAACAGTTATGTAATAGTCTTCAACGTAAACTGTTAGAATTTTGAAATTTAATTTTGAACTATATGACAACAAGCCCTACTATAACATCAATAATACACTAGATATGGCTTCTCAAGCCTTCTAAGTTTTATACTTTTCTTGAAGTAAGTGAACTTCAGGTTAAAGTAAAATTCACAAGCTGACTGTGTCTAAGAAGAGATTGCTGACTTTATATTTTTTCTCATAAACCTAGATGTCTAAAAGATCATAAGAATATTGTTAACATTAAGAGGTTATTTTAGCGAACCCATTCTAATAATAATATCCTTAATGTCTGAAAATACGCCCTTGAAGGCAGGCACAGGATACTGTAAGCAAAGTAATCCCATTTTCCAATACCTCCTGATCTTTGTAGTCAGGGCTAGAAGTAGGAATATCATCTCTTTCTAGCTATTATATTTACACTTAGTTTTTATTGTAGTATAGGCTGTTTCAGTTCTTCTTGATTCAGAATTATGTCTGATAATTCCTAGAATATTCTCTCTCTAAGGTGATTGATTATGAATGGAATGATCTTATACCATTAGCATTTTGATTTACAACATGCAATGAAAATGATGGTTGAAAAATAAATACTAAAAAGCCCACGGCTCTAAAAATAGTATTTTTTTCCTTCTTCTCAATGGCTGTATTGCTGTTCAAAACAAAAATGGCTGCAGGCTTACTTATTATTTAGTTTCCTAAACTAATATTTTCCTTATTTATTAT